TGCAGCTAACAGCAGGCTTTTAAGGCAGTGTGGCTGTTACAGGTTTGAGATTATGATCACTTTGCCCAGTCCCGCCAGCCTTCAAGGTGCCTTGGGAACCCCCTGGCTATGTTGTCAAGGTGACCCATTACTGGGTATTACTTTTCCTGCCGAATTGGCCTTGAGCACAGCATATACCAATTAGGGCTACACTCACAGTGGCTAGCCCAGTTCCTTCTTTATTCACTAGTAGCTTATAGTAAAGGGAAAAAAAAAAGAATAAAAGAAAAGAAAGAAAAGGGTGTGACATATATATACCACTACACAATACTACCCTCACAAAGGCAACTGGGTAGAACATTCTATCAGAACAGTTGTCACAGTTTCATGATTTCCTTCCTCTACTTTGTTCTCCTTTGGTATTTCTCTCGATGATTGCCTTGACCTGACTTAACTTGAATAAAGAAAATGGAAGTGACAGAAGTGAAGAGAAAATGTGTGGGGATTTGTACTTTGACCCAGTAGTCTGCATCATCCTGAGAACCCTTCTAGGGTTCCAGAAATGCAGTCAGATCCATCAGTTTGTGGAGTCTCAGGAGCTTTGCTTCCTCAGCCTTTCATTCACTTCTTGTTCTTTGCCTCCCATTGATAATACCCAGATCCACTGGCTACTCATAGTCACACCCCAACACTGATATTAAGGAAAAGACTAGTTGGCAGATTTTATTCTTTTATTCTGTTTTATGGAGGAACTGAACATAATCTATAACCATCTCATATCGCTTTTCTCATAATTTTACCGATTCTGTAGTATAAGTGTTTCCAATGAAAAACACGGTTATAGTTGCTGGATTCCATCTATATTCTAGTATATCCTCATTCATAATTTCATCAACTATGAAAAAAGAATAATGATTTAACATCATGTGTCAATATTCTTTATAAAGCAAATTGAATGTCTATTTGTTTTTTATTTTATTTATTTGTTGATTGTGTTTAGTAAAGAAAAACCTTACTTAAGCATGTCTATTTTTAGCTCAAATGCTTTTTAACAAACACACTGAAATGGAAAATCAAGGACAAACTTTGTAAACAATGTTTCCCAAGCAATAATAAGGAGCAGACAGCACAGAAAACACTTTTCTTTGTATTTTATTTATTTTTCAAAACATGTAACAAAATAAAATATAGTAAGACCATCATCTTGAAGTTGAACAAGTCAAGCCAACAGGAAAAAAAAAGAGCCCCAAGGGAAGGTACGGAAGCAGAGACCCACTTGTTTACACATTCTGGAATCCCATAAAAGTATTAAACTGAAAGCTATAGTATACATGCATAGGATCTAGTTTAGACCAGTGTAAGCCCTGTGATTGCTACTTCAGTCTCTGTGAGTTCATAGGAATTTTGCACATTTGTTTTAGAGGGCCTTGTTCTCATGGTATCTTCCATTACCTCTGTCTCCCTCACTCCTGTTTTCCCCTCTTCTGAAGAGTTTCCTGAGCTCTGAGGAGAGGGATTTGATGGAGATATCTCATTTAGAGCTATATGTTCAATGTTCTCTCTCCCTGTACAGTGTCTGGCTGTGGGTCTCTATATTTGTTCCCTCCTGCTGCAGGAGGAAGCCTCTCTGATGATGGCTAGATAAGGCAGTCTATGAGTACAGCAGAATGTCATTAGGAGTCATTTTATTGTTACTTTTTTTCTTTTTAGTCCAGTAGTATTTGGTTTTACCCTAGGTCTCTGAGGTATCTAGACTCTGGTTATTGGTCACCCAAGTAGTGTTGAGTATGGGTTCCATTGTGTGGAGTGACAAACACCTTTTTTAAACTTGGTGTTAGTATACAAAGGGAACAGCTAACATTGAAGCTTTCTAGACGCTGATCATGATATACTAAATATTGGCTGATATGTTAGTCAACTTTCTGTTACTTCAACAAATACCCTAGATAGTAAATTTATGAAGAGAAAGAGGTTAAGGATTTGAGGCATGCATCACTGGTAGAACACTTGCCCAGAGTACTTTAAGTCTTGGTTTCCACCCCCAGTGCTGCAGGAAGGTTTACATTTGCTTAGAGTGTTAGTGTTTCCATCCATAGCCAATTACTTTAGGCACGGCATTATGTCAGGACAAGACCACACAGTGAACCCACTCACCCTCTGCCCTTCAGAGGAAAGGAAGAGGGAAGAGACAGTCTTTAGTCCCATACAATGCCATGCCATCAAGAACTCAGCATTTCCCACGAGACTGCATTTGTTGCTGTTGTTGACGTATTTTTATTAATTCTCTGTGAATTTCACAAACCAGTTTTGATCATATTTACACCCTTCCCTCAACTCCTCTTAGATCCACTTCCCCTTTCCCATTCAAGTTTATGTCCTTTTTTAAAAAGACCATTGAATTCAATATCTGCTGCCCATGTATTTGATATGTGGCCCTCCACTGGGACGTGGTTGACCTGCCAGGGGCTCTATCTTTATTTCCCAGTGCTCTTTGTTTTATTCTTTTTTCCAGATCAGATAGTTGATCAAAATTTATAGTTAGTAGTGACATTTGAAAATTCCTAAAAAGATAAAATACTGCCGCCCTGATTATGGTTATGAATGATACATACCTTTCATATTTTTATTTTTTATTGAAAATAGATTTATTCTTAAAGAATACTAACTCTCTCTCCTAGAAGTTATTAATTCTTACCTATTGTTTCTGGAGTATGGGTGGGACTCTGTGTGTACCTCCCTCTCTATGCTGGGCTCTGTTCAGGTTGGAGCTTACCCAGGTACTGTTCATACTGTCACAGCTGTAAGTTTATATGTGCAGCCGTGCTGCTGTGTCCAGATGACAGTGTTTCCTTGTCAGTACCTATGGCTTTTAGTATTCTACCCTTTCTTCTGCAATGACCCATGGTCCTTGAGAGGAAGGTTATGTAGACTGTACTTCTTCAGGGCTCTACCACTTGTCAGTACTATCCTCCTTGAGGATAAAAGCTTTTATAAGATGAGCTTAGAGTGAGATTGAAGATTCAAATTATAGAATTAGCTTTGAACTTATAAGACAAAGATGAAGACAGAAAGATATAGGATCAAATCCTGCCTGGTTTTCCAGTTTTGAAGAATCATAATTTCTGAACATCATGTACATTGTATTTCTAAAGGGGGTGGAATACATTCTTTCCTTTGTGTTACTACTGGAAATCATACTCAAGGGTATGTGTGCCAAACAAGCACCATGCCACTGAGTTAAACCCCTCGCCTATCACAACACATTCTTGATTGAAAGATCCGAATACAGATTGTATATTCTAAAATTCTAAAATTGCTGTCTATAATTTTATGCTGTAGAACGCAGTCTGTGTATCTCATCATACTAATGTAAAACCTCTATAGTTTTTATAAAGTTGTGTGTTTTGAAATGAATCCTTAAACTTCTACTTACTGTCTAGGTTAAGTCTTAACCACATAAATAATTTCATCCTTTGGGAGCAAACGTGCCAAATCAACTCAGAGCCGCCTGATGCTTCTCACACCTTTAATGCTCATAAGACAACATTTTTATGTTGCCAGATGTAACCCAGATGGCACATATTAATTTATATATGGATATTGGAAAAATATATAGTTTCCATCTGAGGTCTTTTAAGTATGATTTGTAAATTGATGTGAACATTGTCCTTTTTTTCAACCTCATCATAATGTGAGTCAAAATACGGTTCCCAGGTGAATGAACACTTGCATTTGGCATCATTCCATGTTCTGGGCCTCAGCTTCTGAATGAATGTGTGTCTCTTCAGACTTGTTTCAACTGGCTGAAAAACAATGTGATGGCGTCAAGTGACTCTCATTGTGTTGAAAGACGGTGCTGATAAGATAAATTTAGAGTATGTTTCATTTCCTTTTCAATATTAGCAACTGTTCTCGAGTCTTGCCTGCAGACACAAACGTGTGATCACGTTCAGACATTTTAATTCTTTAGTCTGCCCAGTTTCCATAAATATTAGACATAAGGTATTGAAATACTGTCCCCACATCTGTAGATTTTCAGAGAAAATAGCTCATTGTACGCTCATTATAAAACTATTTGCTAAGGAAATTGTAAGGCCAATTCAGTAGACAAAGCTTAAGATTGTGCTCTCCTGTTGGCTTCCCTTTTTTCCAGGAAGACTTTGAGATACATTGTTCAAAAGAGAGAAAATGTGTGAACATTTTGTAACAGTGCCTGGGGTATATTTCTCAGACGAAATCTGATAAGGTTTATTTTTAAAAACACTTCCTTCACATTTCTCTTGCTTTGCCTCAACCTGTCTGTTTTCTTTGCTACATTATTCTTCTTTAGTCTACTGTGAATTGACAGTCATCAATACTTACAGCCTCTTTGCATATTAGGATATGCATGGATAGATAAACACACTTCAGTGGCCAGAAAATTCTTCTCTAAATTTAGAATTAATATGCTGATACCCACTTACTCATTTAAAATAATGTGAGAATACCATAAGTATTGTTCCAGACCTATCTTTGGGCATGGTCTGATTAACAGCCCTCCCCAAACACCATCCCACGAGTCTTCTGCTGTGAAACTTGGAGAATTAGCTTATATTTGGCTTTTCTTATTATTTTTGCATATAAATTAGAATGCTAAAGCCTCTGGCAAATTTGTTCACTGAGTCAGAGAAATAAAGGAGAGTAACAACCTAGAGGAATTGCTAAACAGGCCATAGACATTCCTTTAAAGAGCAACCATTTAATTCCAGGGCCAGCATGCACAAAGCTGCAATGGAGTCATACACTTCTGAAATATTTAACACTCTCTTTCACAGGACACAGCAGAAGCACAAAGGCAAACTCCCTCTCACCTTCCACTTCTCCTCTCTTCTTAGTGAAGCACGTGTGTGCACATGTACACACACACTCACACACACAAAGAGAAAGAGAGAGAGACACAAACGGACAGACAGATCTCCCAGCCTTCCCCATCTTTCCCTCTTGAAGGAGCAATGCTGTAACACTTGCTGTCACTACAACAGATGCAAGCTTGGTAATGACAAAGCGATGCTGTTCGGCATGTGGAAAGAAGGTGTTCCCACTCGTGGCAATGGATTGATTATTATGGAAGAGAGAATGCCACTCCTCTGGACTTTCAAAGTAAGTAGTCCTTCTAAGTAAGATCTTTTCCATTTTGCTCGCTGAAGATTTAGCACAGATCTTGGAAATGGATACAGAAATCAATTTCCTGGAGAGACAAAGTGCACTGCTCCAATTCCAGTTCCAATGTCACAACCACTCTGAGGTGGATAGACAAGACAGCCCCCCAAATCCCTACCTCTTGGTGTTGGCTCTACATATAGTTGCCACCCCCCTAACTAGGACTACTTCTGGACCATGAAACACAGCAACAGTTATGAGATGTTGTGTCCATGCTGAGGATGTAAATATATCATGACTTTCATCTTTCCAGTTAAGGATAAGAAAGGGTTTTTAGTATCAGCTCTTAGCTACTGCTCTGACCTCTTGGGCTTTTAACTCTGAAAAAAAAAAAAAAGGCATGGTGACTCACACCTTTAATACCAAGAAGTGAGCCTTTAATCCCAGGAAGTGAGGGCAGAAAGTAGAAAGGTATACAAGGTGTGAAAACCAGGAACTATCCTGGTTAAGCTTTCAAGCTTTTGAGAAGCAGTTCAGCTGAGATCCATTTGGATAAGGACACAGAGGCTTCCAGTCTGAGGAAACAGGATCAGTTGAGGAATTGCGAGGTGAGGAGGCTGTGGCTTGTTCTGCTTCTCTGATTTTCCAGCATTCACCCCAATACCTGGCTTCAGGTTTATTTTTATTAATAAGACTCTTTAAGATTCATGCTACAACTTACTTTCTTGGCTCGTGCTCTGGGATGTAGCAACTTATGTGGAGAGGCCCACATTTTGAGAAACTGGAATAACTTTGGGTCAGTGGAACACTAAGGCCATAAGGCTGACAGCAGGCCAGGAATCTGATCCCGTGGATGACTCATGGACTCAGGAACAGATGTGTCATCTCTTGAGCCTTCAAGTGAACCCCCATCCGTGGCTGACACATAGACTGAAGCTTTGTGGGAAGTCCTGAAGCAGAGGCCTCAGGGAAGCTGTGTCTACATTTCTGACCCACAGTAAACCTGAGATAGCAAATGTGCTGTCCTAATTCTAAAGTCCTCCTATCAGAGGATTTCAGAGGCCCTGGCGTACATGTGAACCTAGTCCCTGCTTCTAGCCTCACCAGGTAGCATATCCCTCTTCCAGCAGAAGCTGGTACCTTACAGTGCACATCCCTCAGCTGCTTCCCAAGAGGCAAAGCCATGGAAGGTATTTAAGATTGCCTATACATTTCATTTTTCAAGCCCCCCCCCCCCCCCCCCCCCCCCCCCCCCCCCCCCCCCGCCATTTTAAGAAATGGAGTTGAAGGCCATCACCTTGCAACCTCAATTTGTTCCGAGGTACAAATACCAATCTGAAATTATCAAGTTAAAAAATGAAGAAATTGCGTATTATTAGAAATTCTGTCCTTCCCAAAGCTTCTGTATTTCAGGTCTACATTCTCACTACATACTGACCCGTTCATTTAAGTGGCATCTTTGATCTGATGATTTAAAATATTTATAGGGATTAATTAGCTTAATTGTCTTATCATCTTTGGTGAAACACAGTGTTATGTTTCAACTGGTAAACTGTACCCAACTATTTACACTTGATAACTTGCACATAGCATTGAACAGAGAGGGGTTTTCTCCCCATACAGTTTGAAATGCATTTTTCAAGACCAAAATTGATCCCCAAGGTCCAATATAAACTTCTAGGTCTATATTTCTGTTGATAGTAACAGAAAACCCAACACTGGTTTTATTACTGTAGAAACGGCTATGGCAGAACTAGTAAGCAGGGAAGAAGGCGGTTAAACGTGGTTGGGAAGCAGCTGACGCTTAATGAGAATCTTCAGTCTCTCTCCCGGCTTTTTCGTTCTCTGTGGTAGGCTTTGCCATAAGCAAAAGCAGCAGTTTAGGGGAAGTAATGAAGACTCTGTTTACTACCTTATTATTTTTTTTCTTTTTCCCACAAATTAGAAAAATATGCCTGGCAGTTTTACTGACAGTTCAATAATGCACTTCATTTTTTTCTGGAATTCTCAATTATTTTTCTCAGTTTTTTGTTTAATAGATCAATGCCAAAATAAAACTTAGAGGTAAACAGCTTTTTAATTGAGTCTTTGTGATGTTAAGTATCTTGGAGTTGGGAAATTGTGGAATTATAAATAATTTTGGTGGTTTATTTTTCTTGAATATTTGGCACTGAGAATTATAATAACAGCTTTTTGATGGGAAGACAAACATCTAGGAAGTTCTTTTTGTAGGCTCGCCACAACATTTGGGGAAGCATTGGAGACATTTGGTGGAAGTTTCTGCCAGAGCTTTATATTTCTCCCAACTGGTCTGATATGTGAGTCCTTTGATCAGAATTGAGACTACTAGGCTGCAAATTAAAAATTGCAATGTCAACTTGCCAATTTGCTCATTTGGGTCTTGTTAATTCATTTTTAGTGTGTGTGTGTGTGTGTGTGTGTGTGTGTGTGTGTGTGTGTGTGTGTGTGGTGTGTATCTGTGTGTGTGTGGTGTGAAGTGTATCTGTGTGTATGTGGTGTGTGTGTATGTGTGGCGTGTGTGTGTATGTGTGTTTTGGAAGGCAGAAGATAACTTGTGGGAATTCATTATTTTCTTCCACTATGTAGGTTCCAGGGATTGAACTTAGATCATCAAATTCAAGTCGTTAGCCTTGGCAATATCTTTACCCACTGAACTACCTCACAGACCTGACCCTAGGTTTCCTGATAATTGCAGGAGGTTTGGTTGTCAATAAGTCATCATTTGTAATACAGTAACAGCTTCTCAAGAAGACAGCTTCTCTAATCCTTGCTTTATTCCCTAATTTCATGAAAAGCAAAAGGACTCAATAAGGAGAGATGTTAGACAAATAGATTTTTATACATAAGGCGTCTTCACTAAACAATCGTAGTCTATTTAATAATATCTTTGCTGAATTGAAACTTGGGTTTCACACATGCCAGACAAGAGCTTCCCTACTCAGCTTCACTCCAGCCCAAGCAGTAGACTTCACTCCTCTCCCCACCAACAAGGTTCCCCCTGAGAGTTTCTTCATGATTCAAGGCAATGACAACAAAGAATGCTTCTGCCACTCTCCAGATTGCCTGATAGTTCCCTAAAGCAACTGTTCGACTTTTCAAAATACCTTCAAAAGCCAAAGACAGAATTAGAAACTAAATTCAATGCGAAGTTTTAATGTATTTGCTATTTGAGAATTTGGTTGAAATTTATAAAATTATGTGTAAAGACATATAAACATTTTTTCGTGAAAAAAAAAAGAATAGAAATCTAACTTAATGCTATTTTTCACCACCATGGTAGATTGCAATAAGGATCCTAGCAATATCTTTCATCTCAGACTCTTTTTGTTATGGAAATGGGTCATTTCTCCCATGGAGAAATTAGAGCATGTTTCCTACCTTTTGTATGTAGGTAAACTCCTGAAGGTAGCAGGCACTATAGCAGATGGTATCTAGGGCTCCCATTTAAAATGTGTTCGCCTTAACAGAGTTTTGTGGGAGAACTTGCTCTTGTAGCAAGGCACCTACACTGTCAGGAAACTTCAAGTATCACATGGCAGTGTCTTGTGCAGACAAGGACCAATGTACACAGTCCACAGCCACCACCTCTGCATGTGAGTTGTAAGCCCTGACGTACCACATATCAAAATTATCTGTAGCCCCCTGTCACTCAGATGGTATTGTATGGAGTAGAGACACAGTCCTTGGTAGGTCTATCTTGAATATGAATATCTGAGTAAAATTTCTGAGTGGGATAGTCTTTTCATAGTAACAGGTAATTATTATGTCCTTTAAAAAATTAAGCAACAGAATTTCCTAACAGATCACATATTGCACAAAGAACACAGATCTAGTGAGCCATGAAATTTATCTCCAAAATCCATATTTTTTTTCTACATTAAAAACATAGAATTGTCTCTGAATATTTGGTAGACTTAAAAGTAAGCCTTCAGTGGTCTCTTTCTTCTTAGATATACCCACAAATCTTTACTATCCAGTTTCTATTCAGAAATACAGTTTATGGGAATAAAATTCCATGGCTTTTAGAAAGAAGAAAATATTTTCAGATTGCTATGGTGATGAGATAGTTTCTGTTTTCTAGCTTCAAATAGTTTACAAGTTCTGTTCTGGATATTTTGGCCTTGTTCCCTGGGATGTTAATTTTAATCATAGCGGCACTCAGTTCAAAACTCAGTTCTAAATACCTGATCAATTAAGTAGTTTGCTATGAGGGAAAAATGGTGGAAATGCAAATATAAAGGAATCAGTTAACATTTCATAAAATCTCTGCACTAATAATTTTTCTCATTTTTATTAAAAATACGTGACAAGAAGCAACTTTTAAGTTGGTTTAAAATCCGTTAGGAGAAGGATTTATTTGGTTAACAGCTTGAACAGATACCCACCGGGGAAAAGGCATGGTGATCTGGCAATCAGATCTCTACATTTCTGCATATCTTGGTGGAATTGACATCATAGAGTTGACAAAAAAGTAGGGTGAATTATAAAACTTCAAGGCCTGCCTACAGTAACCTACTTCCTCCAGTATGGCTCCACCCACTTCCTACAGGCACCACAACCTTACAAAACAGCACCACCAACTGGGAACCGAGTGTTAAAACACACAAGTCTATGGGAGGCCCGGGATTTAAACCACACCAGTCTCCTTATATACAGTGATTCTGACCATTTTGTTTCCTTTCTAAGCTTGTTCACATTGCTGATGTAACCTTGCTGTGGGAAACTGTACTGTTGTTTCTTGCTTGATCTGTGTAGTCATCTCAGGTGTTCACAGACAAGGGAGTACCTTAGAAGTGTTTCCTGAGAGACAAGAGAAGCTTGAATTTAGAGCGAGCCTCACTCCTAGGACTCTCTCTTCCTTCTTGACCAAGTTGGTCACAGAAATTGACCTTAAAGAGTTATTTCTTAGGAAGTCAGGTATTAGAATTTTATCACAAGTCAACAGATAATTACTTAATACTTATTTGATATATGGAATTCTATTTCAAACAGGAATATAGCCAAAAGCCCCTAAGGGATTAGAAGTAAAGACAGAAAGAAAAAGCATGGGATGGAGACTTCTTTCCACAAAAGGAATAAATGCTGGATAGATTCTTTCAAACTTGTAGTAGTCCCTTTGTCAGAGTATTGAATTCTTTTATTGCCCTGGTTTTTTGTCTTAATTTTTTCATTGAGAATGGTGGTTGTGAAACTCTGACCTGCCTTAGAACAACAGTATCAAGATGCTTGGTAAGTGGTAAGCTTGGTAGTGTAATCTATGGCAAGATGTATGATCTGAGCAGTAACAAACTGTTTTTATTTGAAACATCTTCTATCAAACATGGCAGCTGAATACATGCTTTTCAAAGTTGCATCATAAAGGATTAAGCACCAAAATCTGTCTTTGTATTTGAGCTGGGTTCACAAGGCATGATTCCATAAAGAATGGAAGAGGAGCAGATAGCTTTGCTATATGCAAGGTGATATATATATATATATATATATATATATATATATATATATATAAAATAAACCAGATAAGTTTATTAAGATACACAATATTTTAGGGAACACAATACCACCACATTTCCTCTCTTTTTGTCTAAAATTAAAAAAGGCTTATAACTAATACAAGAAAACTGTCCAGTAACTATATAGAATATATATACAGCCAAAAATTACATTAATGATGTCTAGTCCATTAACATTTGACAGATTCAGATAAAAACTCCATTATATATATTAACAATGTCCAGTCCAGTAACATCTGATAAACTCAGACCAAAAAATTTTCATTACTTATCTTATTTATATATATATAATTTTTCTTCATTTAATTCATACAAATGCCCAATTAGATCAATTTTACTGTTCAGTTATAGAAAAAGGAACTCAAGTTTCGAAGTTCAATAACTAAATCAAATCCAGTAGCTGCAGTTTCTTGGAGGAAACGTAAAAGGTTCTGGCTCCAGGTCCCAGCACTTCCTTCTGAGACAGCAATTCTCTAAAGGCACACTTAACTATGTACAGGGTAAATGTGGGACACTGTTAGCTGGAGAAGTCAACAAGGCTGCTTTCTCCCTCTACCACTGCCATAGGATCTCTTTCCTGATCTTGTCCTCTGTGTGTGCTATCTCAGACTCCAGAGAACAAGGAACTACCTGTCATGGATTTAGAGATACAGTGCCATGCCACATGCTCAATAAATTATAGCTGTTATTATTCCACAATATGAAGAATTTAACTTTTCAGTCTATTCCTAATGACGCGTGGGAGGAGAACATGAAGAACAAAGTTATTTATGTTTTAGTTGTCGTGGTGCAATGAATAAGTCTTCTAAAACATCTCCAAGTTTAAAAAAAAAAAGTCCTTTTAGCTTTTCCTTCAAGGTACCTGATGAATATGAATTATTTACTCCTTCTCTGTTTTATTATTTTTCTCTGGCCTCCTTGTCAGGGTCCGTCAATAACTGTCAATTGTGCCTAGTCAGCCTCCTTGTCAGGAGCTGTCAATAATTGCCAATTGTGCCTGGTCAGGTCTGCTTGGTTAGTGTAGCTAAGCTATAAAGAACAGGAACAGATGTCAGAAATGCATTTGTTTTCTTTTCCTTGCCAAATGCCAGGCAAAGAACGGCACTGTTCTGCTTGCCTGCCCATTTTACTGGTGAGTAGTGCAAAATGGTTCACACAACATCTGCTTTTGTGAAGGCCTGCTAGCATTGCCCACGTATGTCCAGATGTTACTGCACACAAACACAAATGTCTGTGGGGAAGAAAGTGAACAAACTCTCTTGACATGCCAACTCCAATCCTGTTTTGTGCTATGATCTGGGAAAATGCATAGGGATTATTGCATAGATTGAAATGAAAGGTCCAATTTCCTTTCACGAAAGGCATCTCCCCCAAAGAATTGCTATTTTAATACTACACCAAGCCCCTTAGCTGTGACTCTCCACGTTATGATGACAAGAGTCCACTGAGGAAACTTATTTTTGTGCCACAATGTCGACAGCAAGACTTCAGAGAACAAAGTAAGAGTTCAGTTTCCTCCTCCTGAAAATCGTAGACCTTTACTTGGCTAACTTGTGGATATAGAGATGCCCTTACGGTCGGTCTCCGTCTTTTTCCTCTTCCAGTACCATCCTCCCTGTCTATCATTGCCCTCCTCACTCTCTTGGCCTTAGGTGAGACTTTTAATCTGCTCTTTGAACATAGCTGCCTTCTTTTGATAAAATAAATTAATTATGTGGTTTCCCTCTTAGGTGAGCTAATTGGGTACAGTGGAGAGCTCAAGCCAGACCTTGTACTGTGAGGAACAGGTGAAGAAGGTCATCCTTCCTGATCCAATGTCATTGTGAAGCACGCAGAAGACCAAGACTTTCTTCAGCAACAAGACTAATTCCAAATGCAACTTAAGAATTTGGAGTTAAATACTCACACATCTATAGATGTGTCCTAGTTTCATCCTGGTCTCAAACCTAAAAATAGAATAAGTATAAATTTGGCTTCTTGAAGTCTGGAAATAAATTGTGTCATCCTTGAATGGAAGCAAGCTTGATGATTTGACATTGAATTTCATCCATCCTCTTTTCCTGTAGTAATGTCCATACTTATCCAGGGATAGAAGTACAGATTGACAGATGCTAAGGAAGAACAGCAAATGGAATTTGTGTGACAGTCACTAAACATTATATTGTAAAGCTGGAGACACCAAGTTTTACCTGCAGAGGGCCAGAGATCAACTATTTTCAGCAATGTGGGACATATGGTCTCTGTCACAACTGCTCAATTGTAGCCTGAAAGAAATCATCAGCTGTGCATAGGTGAATGAATATGGTTGCGTGGATAAGGATAAAGCTTTGATAATAAAATAGGTCCAGGGTAGATGTAACCCACAGGTCATCTCTTACTCACCCACATCATGGAGAATAAATATCTACTTCTATTTACTGTGGGCCAGTGAAGAATATCTTTCTCTGGAGATTTTATTCTATTCTAATTTTCACTTTCTCCTGTTTTTCTTTGATCTCGTTTCCTTATAAAAAGTACCAAACATGACCAAGATATGAACCCTGCTTTCAAGAGGAGAAATAAAGTGTTTTGATACAGGGCACGAGGGAAATAGGGAGGGGATAAGAACTGCTTCCTGGAAGAGGCAGCACCGTGACAATTGAGATAGAAGGAAGGTTGTAAGCAAAAGGATGCAGACCTGAGAAAAACACGAATTGTTTAGGAAAAGGAAGCTTGGCCCAAGGCTGGGCTTGGTGGTGCATACCTTTGTTCCCAGCACTCAGGAGGCAGAGGCAGGAAGACCTCAGTGAGTTCAAGGCCAGCCTGGTCTATATAGTGATGTTCTAGAATAGCCAGAGCTACAAAGAGAGATACTGTCTCAAAAAACAAACAACCCCCCCAAAAAAAAACAACAAAAAAGAAGTTGATTCTATAAAAGTTTTATAAAAGGTGAAAATAATTTGCTATGGTGAAAAAAGACTAGAATAAGAAGCAAAATTAGATTATAAAAGTCCTTGCACAGCATGGTAAGGTGTTTGAGGTTTTATTAACAGTTTGTTGGATTGATACGTTGGAGAAAGGAGTTAGGTCACAGCAGACAGCCCTTCCAGGGCCCAGTGTAGGGGCTAAGTCTGCTGACTTGTGGTTCTACTGTAACATGATACCCTCTTTGTGCTTTAATTCCCTCCCTCTTAAAGGAGGACGAAGATGCCTCCTGTTTATGTTGTCCACGGGATTAAACACACCAATTTGTGTAAACACTGAAATAGGATTCACACTATGTTAAGATGATTAGTAATCATTTAATTTAAAAACGGAAAAGAATATTCCAATATGAACTGTCTCGAGCAAAGCAGGGCACATGGCCACCCTGCAGATGAAGCGCGTCTTACTCCTCGATGGTTTCCTGAGCTGTCATCAGGCATCTATCCCATTGTAGCTAAGGAAATCCTTCCTCTCTAGAATGTGAGACTGAGAAACTCGTCATTAAGTTTTTGGTTTTGTTTTGTTTTTTTTTTTAATTAAGAAATTCTTTAAGCTGGGCAGTACTGGCGCATGCCTTTAATCCCAACACTCGGGAGGCAGAGCCAGGCAGATCTCTGTGAGTTCGAGGCCAGCCTGGTCTACAGAGTGAGATCCAGGACAGACACCAAAACTACACAGAGAAACTCTGTCTCAAAAAACCAAAAAAAAAAAAAAAGAAAGAAAAAAAATTTTTTTATTCATTTCACTTACCAACCACAGATCCCCCTCTCTTCTCTCTTCCTGCCCCCCCCCCAGCCTTACCCCCAACCCAACCCCCATTCCCTCCTCCGACAAGGTAAGGCCTCCCATGGGAAGTCAGCAGAGTCTGTTACATTCAGTTGGGACAGGTCCAAGCCCCTCCCCCTGCATCAAAAATTTACTTAGTGAACACTAACTATGTGCCATAAAAGGTACCGAGTTCTGTTGAAATGTGACAGGGGAGTAAGGAAGAAAACCCTGGCTTGGAGTTACATTCCAGTAGAAAATTAGATGGAAAAGCACAAAAACATGTAATGTCTGGTAGAGGTGAACACCATAGAAAGTGAGGGCAGAGTGGGTTGGGGTGCTATTTTCAGATTAGATATGGGAATAAAGAAATATTTGAAGAAATGACATTTGAAAAGAGATGTGGGTGAAGTAGGAAAAACATATAAGCAAAATTCCAGATGGAAACTTGCTTGGCAAGTTTAAAAAAAAAGTGACTTAAGTATAGTGAGCAGGAATAGCAGAAAATAAGGACAGAAGACAGTAAGGGTCCAAGTGAGAAGTGGAGAGTGATCATTGAAAGTCAGGTCCACACCCAACCCCAAGAGACACTAGGATTCCTTAAGCTATCATAGGTGCTATCAAATGTACTCCCTTTGGTTTGGAGATGGAAAAATAAACCAGATTTAGCTGAATGCTTGGTAAAATTTGGTTGGGTTTGCTTTCAGCAGTTTTCCCCACTTTTAAAAGGAAACAAACTAAAACGTCTCTTCTTTCCTTCCTTCTGGGATTGCTGCAGCCTTGTAATGACTGCTGAGAGAGTGGTGAGCCTCAGCACCGAGAAGACATGGTAGGGATGAGGAACCGAGAAGGTGCAAGTAACCTGAGTTGCAGCGAACTCAGCGTTCTGCTGAACTAGCCAATCCGATGCTGTTACTGCTGTAATACAGTGTAGCAGAGTTTTCCATACACGATGCCAAGTTGAGATTTTGAAATAGAGTATTTATTCTTTGACACTTTCATACATACATAAAATATATCTTCATCCTATCCAGCCTCACCTACTTCCTACTTCTCTCAGACCTCCCAACAATCCCTATATTAGTTAAGGTTTCTACTGCTGTGACAAAACACCGTGATTATTGGTTGTAGTATTAAGGCAACTCCACGTAGTTAAAAGGGAGGTTTATTTTGTGGGGTAACTTACAAGTAAAAGGATAGGTTACAGGGCCTGGGAAACGTGTAGCACAGTCCAGCGGTGTTTTCTGGAAAACTCTGGTCGGTCTATCTCCAGCGTCCAGGATCCAGGAACCAAGAGAGCCGGCACATCCAGATATCGGGTCTTAAGGACTCCTGTCTTGGCACCAAGTGACAGTTACCTCAATGGGGGTAGTACTTCCAGGTCAAAGCTGGAACAGCTACCCACTACACATGACCAAAAGCAAGTTGGGGAGGAAAGGGTTTATCTGGCTTGCACTTCATGTTGCTGTTCATCATCGAAGGAAGGGACTCAAGCAGGGCAGAAACCTGGAGGCAGGAGCTGATGCCGAGGCCACACCGCTTACTGGCTTGCTTCCCATGACTTGCTCAGACTGCATTTATTATTATTATTATTATTATTATTATTATTATTATTATTACTAAATTTTAAAAAATTTATTTTATATACCAACCACAGTTTCTTCTCCCTCCTCTCCTCTTGTTCCCGTGCCCCACCTCTTTTCTATCCCACCCCCATCCACTCCTCAGAAAGGGTTAGGCCTCCCATGGGAGTCAACAAAGCATGGCATATCAAGTTGAGGCAGAACCAAGCTCCTCCCCTCCTGCATCAAGGTTGAGTGAGGCATCCCACCATAGGGAATAGGTTCCAAAAAGCCAGTTCATGCACCAGGGGCAGATCCTGGTACCCCTGCTAGGGGACCCACAAACAGACTAAGCTACACAACTGTCACCCACATGCAGAGGGCCTAGGTTGGTCCCATGTAGGCTCCTTAGCTGTCTAGAGACTGTGAGCTCCCACAAGCTCAGGTCAGCTGTCTCTGTGGGTTTCCTCATCATTATTTTGACCTCCCTTGCTTATATAATCCCTCCTCCCTTTCTTCAACTGGACTCCCAGTTCTTATAAAACTCAGGACTATCAGCCCAGGGATGGTACCACTCACAATGGCCTGGGCCCTCCCCATCAATCAGTAATTTAAAAAATGTCCTAAAGGTTTGCCTATAGCGCAATCTTATGGAGGCATTTTCTTCATTGAGGCTCCCTCCTCTCAGGTAACTGTATCTTGTGTCAAGATGACATAAAACCATCCAGTATATCCCCCATTCATGTATGTATGTATGTATGTATGTATGTATGCATGTATGTATGTACATATGTATGTATGTACATATGTATGTATGTATGTATGTATGTATGTATGTATGTATGTATAATATCCTACTGAAGGTTCTATTAGTGCCATCTGTGGGTAAGTAGGCAAAATACAGGTGCCACACCCCCAAAGAATGAGTCCCCCTTCCCTAGTAGCCCACAATTGCCAATGGCTCCTTAGAGGTTTAACCACATGTTTCCAACTCCTACCCATACTGAAATTATTGACTGTTCTGATCTTGTGAAGTTTTTGTGAAAGTAATCACAGCTACTGTGACTTCATGAATGTAATGGCCAGGGGACAGCATTTCACAACATCCCTCCCTGATTTGGCTCTTATATTTTTCCACTCCCTCTTCCTCAAGTTCCTAAGCCTTGCGGAGGTTAATATATGTGTCCATTTTACAGCTGAGCATTCACTGGTTGCTTATTCTCATCACTCTGACCAATTATGACCCTCTGCATTGACTGCTGCCTACTACAAAAGAAGTTTCTTTGACTCAGACTGAAAGGTACACTAATCAAGAGCAGGAATATAAATATTTAGAAGACAGTTTGGCATGTCCATTTAGCAGAACAATGGAGTTACGTTCTCCTCCTGGGGCCTATGATGTTGATAGCAATGGGCTTCTGAGCAGGTCCTCGGGACCAGGAATAAGTTCACTCCTGTGGACTAGCCTTTAAATCCAATGAGAAAGCACTTGAGTTGGTTACCCCCAAAACAGTCTTATCGCTGAATCTATGGGTATATTTTGTCTATCAGGTCATTAAATTAGCATACAGGGTTTATATCCATCAATGACATTTCTTCTTTAGTGGCCTGCATAACCACTTCCTGCATTATGAAAGTTATCCAGTAGGGAGGGTGTTTCCAGGTTAGTGCTGTGGGATTTCTCTTTGTTTCACAACCAAATGTGTTTTTTCTTTTCTTTTCTTTTTTTCATTTCCTTCCTTCCGTCCTTCCTTCCTTCCTTCCTTCCTTCCTTCTTCTTTCCTTCCTTCCTTCTTTCCTTCTTTCTTTTTTGTGTTTTGTTGAGACAAGGTTTCTCTGTGTAGCCCTGGC